GGGGGGGGGGGGGGGGGGGGGGGGGGGGGGGGGGGGGGGGGGGGGGGGGGGGGGGGGGAGGTGCCTGACAGTAGGCAGAAGGAGGTTGGTGCCCGACAGCATGCAGGGGGAGTTTGAGCGCGATGACCGGCAGTAACCGAAGCAGCTGATGCACTGGGCAAGTTTGGTGCCTGGCGGCTTATGGCAGCTTATGGCAACTTATGGCAAAGCAAACAGATAGCACAGGAACAGGGCAGCACCCACGCCATACGCACAGAAACTGATTCTCCCCCACAGCTGATTCCCCACCAGCATCACCGCCCCCCTCACCTGCATCTTTTGCTATACCATCCCACCTGACAACCGTCTCCCTTTCTTCTTCTTCGTCTTTGTCTTCATCTTGGCCTTCGTCTTCGTCTTCGTCTTCATCTTCTTCCTTTTTCCTCGTCCTCTTCCTCTTCTTCTTCTTCCTCTTCCTTCTTCTTCTTCTTCTTCCTCTTCCCCCTTCTTTCTTTCTTTCTTTCTTTCTTTCTTTCTGCTGCTGCTGCTGTATGCATCTGGTGTGGCTGTATGCACTGTAACGCATTTTACAGCCCGTCCTGTATGCATCTAGCTGCAATTCTGCCCAGAAATTAGTGAAAAAAGTGAGAATGTGACTATACCCTCGAAGCATAACATGTATCCGAATATTGTATATGTTGTATCGAAACATTGTGCACCTGTTGCCACTAGTTGAGGCCACGCGACTTCCAACTGGATTTGAAAATGCTAGGATGTTGTTCTGACTCAGTGAATGTTGGTGTTCACTATGTTTTGTGCTCTGCAGATGATGTCAACACACATTAAAAACTAGTCCGCGACAACCGCAACAGGGGGGCGTCTGGGTTGTTTGGAATGCGCAGCGGGTGCGGCGGGCGCTCTACTATGGGGTTTGCGTGATCCTGTTATGTTGGGGGGAGGGGGGGGGGGTGTGGATGCTGCACACAGCGTGGGTGTGAGGGGAGGAACCTGGGGGAGATGGTCATGGGGGTGCTTGTTCATAATTGACAGTTCTGAAAGGTCGCGAAGCAGACTGGCAAAAGGATGCGGGGCCCTCTCCCTCGGCTTCTGGAGGCTGCCGCTTTGCTCTTCTTCACGATGGGGCAATTGCCGGTGCCCCGGTGGAACGATTAGCAGATTTTTGGCGATGTGCCGCCTTCTTTCCTTCCGGTTTTTAACTGCAGTTGAGTCGACTCTTTGCTGACTTGGGCTGCCTCCTTTTTTTGATCACGTAGAGAGAGAGTGGAGGCCTGCCCCCAAATTTTAGAAGGGGTTGTCGCCCCCAGAGTCGAGCTTTGGCAGTAGTCGTCGATTCTTTCGTTTTTGTGCATGCGATGATGCGAGCGCTTGTTCGCACCTGCAATTACACATATGTCCCTGCGCTTGTTGCAATTTTGTGTTCGCAACTTCTTGCCCGCTCACAAATGAAGAAGAAATTGTTATCCAGAGCCAAGCTTTGGTAGTAGTGTCAATTTTTTTTTTTTACTTCCGTGAATCCGTGCGCGGTTTACGTGTTCGTGCATGCGATTACGCGTTCGTGCTCGTGCATGTGCAACGACGTGTTTGTGCACAGGCAATCACGTGTCCGCACTCTCGTGCAATCACGAACATGCAATCACGTGTCCATGCATGCGTGCAATAACTGGTTTGTGCGTGCGACTACAATCTGGAAGGTAGAAAGTCGCAGACACACTCATAGGGAGTGTTCGGCATGTGGTGGTGCTGTTTGTTTGTGGATGATTAGACTAGTAGGGGGCTTCGTCTTCAGAGAAATTCAGACATAGTTATGGAAGGGAGGTGAGGTGTTATTTCACTGACGGGATGTACGTCCGTCGTTGGAGAAAAGATATGGTGTAAAAAGAGCGCGGAGGAGAAATGGAAGCGTGGAGATGGAGGGAGAGTCGGGTCGCAAGGACAATCCGTCCCTGCCGACGTGCCCGCCTACTGCCCTGCCTCCCTATCTCTCTCCGGGTTTCCTCCTTCCCGCATGTGGAGGGTAGAGACGACGAGATGGAGCTTGTCGAGAGGTTGCGTGTAGGTAGTGGAGCGGTTGTGTGTCACACAGTTTTTTTCTCTCAAGTGGTAGGTGATGATGTTGGATGTATACATATTTCACTGGTCATGTTATGTGGAGCTGGTGTAGGGCACGACAAGCTTTTCGATTCTCTTCTTCATTGCCTGCCTATCAGTAGTGGAGCTGGTGTAGGGCACGACAAGCTTTTCGATTCTCTTCTTCATTGCCTGCCTATCAGTACATGTAAAATATGACAAGTTTGATGTGTAGCTGTGTACCATATATTAATAGCATGAGAGTATGTTTTTGTTTTATGGCTGTGGAGTTGAAGGACAGCCAACATCATTCTCATTCTCCTTCCCTACTTTGTCGAATTGAGGGATGGCGGCATTCTCCTTTTCCCTGCAATTCTCAAGATTCAGTGTGGAGGAAGAAGCCCTGGTTTGAGTGTGTCGTCCTGAGCAACATGACCAGAGAGAGAGAGAATCCATTTATTTCTGGTTGGAAAGAGACGGGACATCTTGCACACCGCTCTTTCTTTTTTTTTTCTTTTTTTTTTTTGGGTTAAGGTGGAAACCCAGTCCAGCATCCCTTACATCATCAACCTACTCCACGCTTCCCCCATTCTGCTTGGAGGGCCGCGAAACAGCGGCATTGCAGCATTGCGCAAGATTAGTGGGACAAAAGAGTGCAAACTTATGAACCCACTTACATGCTATAACCGACGTCCTATTTTTCTCTCTTTTACTTTAACCCCTCTGCTTGTGGCTCTTTCTCACCAGAGCGTATTGAGGCCTGAACCCCAAAGGAATGCGGAATGGAAAACTTTGCAGCAGAGAACTGTTTCCAGGACCTCACAACGCGCGGAAGAGGTCCTGGAAAGTTATGATTTTTTTCTGCGGAACGGTTTCCTGGGACCGCACAGCTCGCATTTTTTTGGCCTGGAAGAGGACTGAACTTGAAATCCGTTTTCACATAGTTTGCGCAACTTTGTGGCCTGGGCGCGATTCTGTGCCGACTTTAGAGTGTGTGGAGGGGGCGGCATCTCAGAAGTTTCCAAGGTCTCCTCCCCCAGTTGGGCGAGAAGTTGTCCGCCCACGGGCGTTGTGCTGGTCTGGGTGTCGCCTACCTACAGCCGTACGGTGTCACAGGACCACTTGGACAAAGCACCACTTTCTTTTCCCGGACGGTGGGCAGGGATGTTTCCTATTATGGACAATTTTGAAGTCGTTTTGCCGCAAAACTCACTCCGCGGTGGGGTCTGCACGGAACTCTTTCCGGACTTTTCAAAAAAAAAATCCACCGTGTTTTTTGGGCATACGTCTTTTCCAGTGCAATTCCTGTGGGGTCCAGGCCTGAGGCTATTGAGTGTGATTATGGATAGAACATAAAAAAAAAAAAAAAAAGAGAAGGCACAGGAAACTGCAAGTTGCAGGAAGCAATGTGTTGAGCAAACAGCCACCCATGCCTTCATTTCCTTGTGCCTTTTTTTTTTTTTCTCCCTTCTTTTTTTGGTCATCAAAGTACCTTGAGAAAAGAAGACGAAGAAGAAAAGGAGAACAACATGCACAAATCACTTGAATTAAGGGAGCTGCAACTTCAGATTGAAACGAGACCAGATACAGTGTATCGAAACCACCCTGTTAGACCCCCTCGCTAGAGGGAGCTCAATAACCAACAAGATTTTTTATTTTTTATTTTTTTTGGGACACAGCTCGGGTAAGAGTACCAGCGGGGGTTACGTGCTGACTACAGAGCGAAGTGTACGAGAATTGCCGTGTCCGTGGGTGTTGTGTGTGGTGTGTGTTGAGTTGGACACTACAGCCTTGCAGGGGTGGGATGGATATCACGACCGGTACGGTTCCACTTTTGAACACCGTGTCCTGGCTGTAGTGGTTAAGAGACTTGGCTCTTGAGGCCGAAGTCGCCGGTTCGAATCTGTGCTTGCACAGAGGAGGACTTAGGCCCAGACGCACGGAATCCATACTACTACAGCTCGGGACAATTCTGTTGAGATATTCCCAAGCCGAAGCCGGGTAAGGGCCCCGCTGGTACGGAGATGGATATGTAAGGGACGCTGGACCCGATTTGCAGCACACCCATATAGACTGGAGCGCGCGAAGGCGGGCCTGCTAGAGGGGGCTGCTCATACCAACCCTTCTAGTGGACCCGGGCTCATACCGACCCTTTTAGTGGACCCGGGAAGTTTTTTTTCCCCAAAAAACAAGAAAAAAAAAAGAGAGAAAAAGAGAAAGATAAGTTTTGAGTCGCCCACAGCATGGAGGAAAAGATGGAAGCGCAACAACAACAACAACAACAACAACCAAAAAAAAAAAAAAGGAGATGGAAGTGCAAGGCAGACACACTTGGATAGACTTTATTATAGACACAATTCGGGTCAGCAAAAGTCAAAACTCATAAGCAACCACTGACCATCTGAATTCCTGAGAGAGAACTGAAGTATGGCTTATCTTGACCCACCAACTGGCTACTATTACATCAGCTAATCAGAGGGCAGAGCGGTCTCCCACAACAGCGCGCCCCCCCCCCTCCTCCGCCCTCTCTCTCTCGCTCTCTCTCTCTCTCTCTCTCTCTCTCTCTCTCTCTCTCTCTCTCTCTCTCTCTCTCTCTCTCTCTCT